GTCACTCTAAGTCAACATAAGTCACTATAATCCTTTGTGAATATATCCATACGATGCTAAGCTGGTGATATATAGGACCTGGCGCCCAAGCCTTCCTTTCAGTGGCTAGGAGTAGACGAGGGAGTACACACGCTGTCCCTCGCCGTCTCATCCCCAAGGCACATGCAGGTATCGCCTCCTGTGCTTGGGCGTCCCGGTTCATCTTTCTCGAAGGAAGTTGTTTTAGAGACGAAAAGAAAGGGACAGAGACAATGCCAACGGAAGAAAAGAAAAGTAAGGAGAGGGGGATAAGAGAAGAGAAAATGAAGGAGCGAGGATAATAGGGGAAGGGAAGGGCGGGCGGGCAAGGGAGATCTCCCTGCCCGCCACCCCCCGCCCGAAGGACTTTCAGAAAGGATCCCCAACAACCATTTTTGTATAACGTTATATAAGTGGGAGTGGCTCAGGAGGGAGGGGAAGGACACCAAGAACCACTCCCTCCTCCCACTCCCCTTCCTCTTCCTTCCTTCCTTCCCCTCCTCCTCCCTCCCTTCCTTCCCTTCCCCCCCCCCCCAACCCTCCTTCCCCTCTCTCCCTCACTCTTAATCTTTACTCTCCCCTTCCTTTCCTACTTCCGACCCCCGTCCCTGTGCTCCTTCCCCTCCTCCCTTACTCTCGGCCTTCCCTTCCCACACCTTCTCCTCCTTCTCCTCCCCCCCCCCCATTCTACTCCTCCCCCACACTCTCCTTCTAATCCCCTTTCCTCCCCTTCTTCCCCCCCCCCCACCCTCACCCCCATCGGCCCCTCCTTGAAGTTCTTCTTGCAGCCTGTCCTTATTGCCAAGTTGCCATAATAGAGGGATTTTCGACATATTTTTTCTTCCTTTTTTTTCTTTTTTTTCACAAGTTGTTGATCGTCTATTGAGGGAGTTTGAGTATGAGGTAATATACGTTCAGGGGTTTTATTACAGTCTAGATTATATATTCATTAAATTTCTTGTTGGCCTCGCCATTCACGGACCCAATGTTTATAATTAAAATAGCATGGAGTAATCTTTGTTAATGCTCCTATATTGTTCCTGAGGCCCGACATTCATTTTATTTTATTTTCGGCCAGATTCATCGAATGTCTTTGTTTATTTGATATTTTTTTTCCCTGTGCATTCTTTTACTTATTTATTTTATTTTATTTATTTATTTATTTTTTTGAGAAATTCTTTTTGGGGACTGTTTATTAGTTTCCTCGATACGTTTTTGTTACCTCTAAAAGAATCTTCTGGCAAAGAGTTTTATCAGCGAGTGAACGTATATATTTTGAAATGCTTTAAGGACGGGGAAGGAAAAGCACACAGCGGAAAATCTGAGCGCCAACATTATTTTTGTATCTATTGAAAACAAGTGAAAAACGATCGCTCTTAAATATCCCAGACGCCTTGGCTTGTATTGGACAATATTTGGTTTATGTGGACAAAATTGTTATTTTATTAAAGAAGGAAATTCTCCTCTGTATGGTTGTCAACGGAAAGCCAGTTTATGATGTTAAGCTCTGATATAACGCAAGTGAACAATAGATGGCGCATCGCTCTTCCAAACCGTATAATTATGGCGCCGGAAAAAAGGAGTGCATTAGATAACAGTGCATGGAGTAGCTTGTTTATTCGGGCAACGCCATTTCCGAAATTATTCTCCCCTTACCTTCCCACTACCTTCCTTACTCCTCACCCCCTCTCCTTCCTCCCTGTCTCTCCTACCCTTATCCTTCACCCCTCTCCTTCCCCCCCTTCCTCCTCCCCTAACCCCATCCTTCTTCCCTACTCCATCCCCTACTCCTACCCTTCACTCCTCTCCTTCCTCCCTTCCTCCTCCCCTACCCCTTACCCTTCTCCCTTATTCCATACCCGACCCCCCAACCCCTACCCTCTCCTTCCTCCCTTCCTCCTCCCCCACCCCTACCCTTCTCCCTTATTCCATACCCGACCCCCCTACCCCTACCCTCTCCTTCCTCCCTTATTTTGACCAGTCGCCGATTCACATGATAATTTTATCGTGATGGTCGGGGAAATGGGTTGCGACTTGGGGCCATTTTCCGTGTTGCGATCAGTGGACCCGACGCCCCATTCACGCTCACCTCCCACGTCATCAAGGGAGATTAAAGTGAAGTGCTTCGGCTCGTCAATTTCGACCCTATTCACACGTGACGTAGGAGCGATATTCATGTTTACATTATGAGGATCACGAGCCGGCTTTTGAATGGAAGACGTTGCAATTTATGGGTAAATTTTAATAACGCCCCTAATCTCAAGCTCGAACTGGGGAGATAAACCGCCCGCGCGCAAGGTAGGGGGCGGAGAGGAAGAGTGGAGGCGCTGAGGGCGTGGAGGCCGGGGCGAGGAAGGAAAAAAGGTGGAGGTGGTTTGTGGTTTTCCTTTCTCTCTCTCTCTCTCGCTCTCGCTCTTGCTCTTGCTCTTGCTCTTGCTCTCGCTTTCGCTCTCTCTCTCTCTCTCTCTCTCTCTCTCTCTCTCTCTCTCTCTCTCTCTCTCTCTCTCTCTCTCTCTCTCTCTCTCTCTCTCTCTCTCTCCCCCCCCTCTCCCTCCCCTTCCCCTCCCCTTCCCCTCCCCTCCCCCTCCCCTCCCCCTCCCCCTCCCCCTTTCCCTCCCTCCCTCCCTGCCTCCCGTGCTAGTCAGTAACAGGGGGGGGGGGTGTAGTAGATAAAAGATACATGATTATAACACGGCGGATAATGTGGAGTTGGTTACATACACATCGAAAAATGGAATACAAAGCTCTGGTAACAAGGTTGTAATGTCGATGTATGCGTTAGTAATTAAGGGAAACAATGGGATATTAGCATTTATGTGCGTGTGTGTCTGTGTGCTTGCGTGTGCGTGTGCTTTGTATAGGCGTGTTGCAGCGTGGATTCATCCTCTCGAGTTTAAAAGTAGAGAAAGCATTAGGTTTCTTCGGGTTTTTCTTTTTTCTTTTTTATTTCTTTCTTTCTGTCTTTTCTCTGTTTCCTTCATCCCCACCCCTTTTCTCTCTCTCTCTCTCTCTCTCTCTCTCTCTCTCTCTCTCTCTCTCTCTCTCTCTCTCTCTCTCTCTCTCTCTCTCTCTCTCTCCCCTCTCTCCCTCCCTCTCTCCCCTCTCTCCCTCTCTCCCTCTCTCACTTTCTCCCTCACTCCCTCACTCCCTCCCTCTCTCTTTCTCCTTCTCCCTCTCTTTCTCTCTTCGCCATCCTCTCCCACTCTCTTTTTCTCGCTCTCATTCGTTCTTCCCGTCAAACTAGCTATCTATAAAAGCCAACTCGTCGAGTGCAGATAGCAGGAGAGCAGCGATTTCACCAAAGTCGACCTATCAGAGCTTCTAGTTATACTAGATGTTCTCCTCTTGTTAAGTTATCTTCAGTTCTTACGAAGGCGTTTTATGACAGCAAAAACTAGATCTTGTCTTGGTAAGGCGTGTTGAGGGGTCTTGTTGTGCTTTAAACTGTACAAAATTGTTGCAGAGTATCATGCTTGATATACGATTTAGCGGTTGTTAGTGAGTGACAGATAGTCCCGGCAGTGACTCTCATGTGAGATGTATTTTGTTTTTTTTTCCTCCCGACTGTCTATCTCTCTGCTTGCCTGCCTGCCTGTCTGTCTATCTTTCTGTGTGTCTATCTGTCTGTCTGTCTGTCTGTCTCCTCTCTCTCTCTCTCTCTCTCTCTCTCTCTCTCTCTCTCTCTCTCTCTCTCTCTCTCTCTCTCTCTCTCTCTCTCTCTCTCCCTCCTCCTCCTCCTCTCCTCCTCCTTCCCTCCCTCCCTCCTCCTCCCTCCCTCCCCCCCTCCCTCCCTCTCTCCCTCCCTCCCTCTCCCTCTAGCTCTCCTCCCTCCCTCCATCCCTCCTTCCCTCCCTACTTCACTTACTCATTCTCTCATTCATTCACTCATTTACACTCCTCCTTCCTTCTTTCCTTTTTTTCTCTTCCCTCTTCTCTCTTCCCTCTCTCCCTCTCTCCCTCCGCCCCTCCTCCTTGTATATTGGCGACTTCTCTTTAATCTTGCAATGTCTCACAAGATCTGGACTTTGTCAGGGAAGATTATTACATGACCAACGTTTTGTTTACATGTGAGCATAACGCACGTGGGTGACAATCCATCCTAGTTTGATTTATATCCTTGTACTTTGGTGACACCTTTTTAATCTGCTACATGAACAGTGGTTGTTCACGAGTGGGCATAACACCCACGTATGACAGTGCATGACAACCGACACAGTATCGTAGCTTCGAGAAATTAGAGGGAGGTCCTGGTCCGGGTATTGACGTTTACATGATATCTGATTGTCTGAACTATGACTTGGGCGATATCGTAACGGCTGGAAGAACTTGTCCAGGATAGAAAGTGGACGAAACCGCCCCGCAGAAGGTGAAGGTTCATGTTCTGACCTCACACCTGAAATCGGAATGAGTGACGTGACTGTGTGTAGAATGCGGGGTGAATATATATATATAAATGTCTTTCTAAATGTTGCACGTAGTGACAAAATGCTTTGTCTGTTCGACAAGGGTTTACATGTGATTTATAAACTGGATTCATTCGTTTTATTCCTTTCTTCTCCCCCCATTCATTTGTATTGGCATTCGAAATGCCAGATCGACACTTTTCGTCCAGTAATTATAGAATAATTGTTATTGATAATCACCATTCTTGAAGGGAAAGTCTTTTGACCTGGATGCAAGATGTTCAACATATATCTTTATTTCTTCGTCGACGCCCAGTTATTGGCAAGATCCTTGAAATGTTTCCTGGATTTAGATAACATTTAGTCTTCCTCCCTTGTATTTATTTGTTTATTTACTAATTTATTTAATATTTATTTATCTATCTATGTATCATTAACGATATACTTATTTCCCTTATTTGTCGATGTGTGTAATTTAAGGACCACTATTGTTATTAGTATTTCACATCTCGATCTAACCTGCTTTCTAACATTTCTCAAGGACGCATTTCCTAACACGCCTTTTTGTGTGTTCCCCAGGCACCCCCTCTTCCCTCTGCTGGCGCTGCTCTTCGAGAAGTGCGAGCTGGCCACGCAGAGCGCCGACTCCGTGAGTAGCGATTCCTTCAACTTGGACATCCAGGCCTTCGTGCAGCACCAAGAGCGGGACCGCAAGCCTTTCCTCATGAACGACCCCGAAGTAGACGGCCTGGTGAGTACTCCTTACAGGTGTTGTGGCGGTGGTTCCCGGTAGGCGCCGCCATCGCCTTCGGGAGGGGTCAGGGGGGAGGGGAGGAGTGGGAGTAGGGGAGGGGGAGAGGGGAAGGAGGGGAAGAGTTGGGAAGGAGGGGGGAGAGGAGGGAGGGGAGGAGTTGTGAAGGGAGGGGGAAGAGGAGGGAGGGGAGGAGTTGTGAAGGGAGGGGGAGAGAGGAGGGACTTGGAGAAGGGGAGGGGAGGGGGTAAGGACCGGGCAGGTAATGAGTCAGACTGATGATTACTGTGTATGTGTGTATATCGGCGTGTCTGTGTGTGATGGCGGCCTGGTGTGGGTACTGAAAGGGAAGGAGGTGGGGAGCGGAAGTGTGCGCTGGTGGGGAATGATTACCGAGGCGAAAGGAGGGGAGACAGATGGAAGGGGAGGGGGTAGGAAGGGGGAGGCAGGATAAGAGGGTGGTTGTCAGGAAGGGGTCTTGGAGCAGGTACAAGACGAAGGGACACTACTGGTCTCCGATCGAGGGATAATGTGAGGTTCAAGGTGGTCCGGCGGAGGTAATGTAAGTGTCGGGGAGACACAAGTGGATGTTATAGGAAGCGGAGGTACTGAGGAGAAAGGAGGCTCTCCCTCTGCCTTCCCCCTCGCCCTCTGCCTCCCCCCTCTCCCTCTGCCTTCCCCCTCTCCCTCTGCCTTCCCCCTCTCCCTCTAGGGTGGATTTGGTGAGGGGGAGGGAGGACGACGCATCTTTGGTCGTCCAAGGTGGGGGAAATCAGTTATCTATATGGAGATGTCGCAGCGGGGAGAGGAGACAGCAAAAAGACCTAACGAAGTAACAAAAGATTCATACATAGTTAGTTTGCGACGCGAGGGCTACAATAAGGGGTATACAAAGTGGAGGGAAATAACCGCAAGAAAAGTTGGGGACGGCGAAGGGGAGTCGAGAACCAGTTGCAAAATGTGCAACTCGCAACGTCGATTACCGTCGGCGGTGGGGAGTGTGGCTGCCGCAGGATAGCCGGAACTGTAATGGAATTTTCGTACGCGATGATCACGGATAGCAGACATTAATATGATTTAGATGTTGGTAATATAAAGCCCATCCGGCCCGAACTAAGGAAGGTGGCAATTGCACCACGATCTGCGGGCGGGGGGGGGGCATAGATTCTGTTGTTGCAAAAATGTTGACTAATATGAGAAAAAAGGGTATTGAAAGTTTTTTTTTTATTCAAATGTGTAGATTTGGAACATGTATATTTGTATCATAATATGGTATGGTAAATATGTATCATAATAAGATATCTGACATTATTTTTGCAAACATGAATCGACAGTTTAGAAATATTAACGTAAGGACTTGAATATTATGTTTCCCATTATAGAAATAGGTGGATCGTAAAGTATTGATAACTGCCGACACATTTTTATGCAAAAGAAATGCAGCTTATGAGAGTTTCTTTGCTACTCCGTCTGGGACTGCCTCGCCCGTAATTTGCGCCGAGAGCCGTTTCAAAAGGCGGATTGTGTCGGGCATATTTTAAACAGGCATATTTGCGATGGCTTCGAGCGTTATGAGATCCGCGCGACTCCCCGTGTCCTCGAAAACACGTATCTCTCAAGTCCCGGGCAAACATTTTCTGAGAGAGCAATAACTCGTCCAGAGCTGTCCCGCCTCTGACTAACAGAGCGGATCCCGGTTGCAAGGAACTGTTTTCGTTCCTCGCGGGGCTTCGAGTCGCCGTTCGAGGAGAGATTTGGCGTGCATGGACTGGCAAAGGGGGCGTGTCGTTTATAGGTCGTGCCGTCGGAGAACTGAGTTGGTTTAGAAAGTATCGCTGATTTATCCGGTGTTTACTGTACAGGACACGCATCCCTTCCCACCTGCAGTTCTGAGACTTATAATTTTGTATACAATTCGAGAAGGATTATTTGAACGTTTCCAGCGATACGTGTTAATGATCGTCCGTAAAGAGGATAGATGGTAAACAAATTTGACTAATGCGCGCGTTGACAATGGGCAAGTAGCATAATCTTGAAAAATGATATACACCAACACGCATAAACATCCATCAAGAGGTGATGCAAGACCTTTTAAGATTACATGAATAAATTCTACGCCGGCACCTCTGGAACTCGTAAACATCAAGAGAACATCAATTTTGGCGCGCATTGCAGTCAACTGATCGGGGGAGCCGAGACGAGGCCGTGGGGCTGGGCTCCTCCGGCGTAACTCTTAAATCTCTGATACCCGCACTAGAATTATACATGTGTGATTCCCGCCGAGTAAAATTTTAAAGCAGAGATATACCTGTTCTATAATTATGTTAG